CTTGCATAGGAGCTTGTAACTATTGCTTGGGTTCAAACGCCCTGGGTTGCCCAAAGGGTAATACTTGGAAACGAATGCGTGGGTTGCCTTCCTGACATGAATGGTGCAGGTGAACAAGGGCGCTGATCAGTCCGGTGCGAGCTCGTATATCGGTTCATTAAACCCGGGCTTGAGGGGAGCTGCGCCGTTCCACCCCGGCCAGCACTGTTTGAAGTATTACGTGACTGATGAGAACGAAAAGGGCGAGAGAGTAAGAGAGAGTACAGTGAGCCAGAGGGGGAGAGAGTAACGAGCGAAAAGGGGGAGAAGGAGATCGAACAGGGACAGAGACAAAGTGAACATTTGATTATTATCCTTCATTATTTGACCATTCGTGTCGGCGAAGGCCTTTGCTGATTCAAGGGAGCTCCTAACTAAGCACCAGTATGTTCTAATTTGATTATCCATTGTTGCTATTCRAAATACCGCAATTCTGAACCGGCTCGCTCTAATCCGTTCATCCACTGTTGCAGTTCAAAAGGGTTCCATTCCGAAAACTTTAAGACTCTACGAGGTGCCATTCTAATTAGAGCGGCCTCTTATCTCACTGGTTCGGACAAAAATTTGGAAAACCCCGSGGGACCGGAAAACAGTGGGCAGTGCAACAAAGAGAGAGTGAACKAAAAGGGTTGAAATGCTTTCGTTRGACCGCTGCTCTYAGTCTTCGCTTTGGTAAAGKGACTATTCARGTGCATGCTTTTTCCCAGGTTCCGATTAATGTGAGGGCTCAATTTCTGTGCRAGYTGTATCCTGCTTGGGTCGTGAGAAGTCGTTGACCCACCGAACGCTGTTTCTCCACTTGGGATCATGAGAAGGCAGCTTTCCCCTGAATGATGTTCAGCCTTGAGTCATAAGATGAAACTGTTTCTATGCGAGCTAACTCCTGCCCCGTGGCTATGTGTTGAGTTTGTTTGACTTAGGGCTATTTCCTGCGCTAAGATTATAAGTGAGGGTTTCATTCTCCGTTTTATTTCTACATCGAAACAAAGAAACTAGCTGGTAAGGTTCAACTGTCACAGTGGGATTAGTTACTCCTACCGTTACAGGAAACCCCTGTTGTTCGCTGAGGACCTCGGAAGCGGGTGCGGCGAGTGACAGGCGCCATGGTCCTTGGCTTCAGCGAACGGTAGGCGACCCCTCCCCGGGTTTCCTCACAACAACGGCGCCGTTGCCGGGGAGGGGAGCAGCACCCCTAAGGCCGCGGCCTTCCCCAATCAATGGGGGTGCGCGGGCTGATTGGACCGGGTACTAATTAGTTCGTTTTCTTGATTAGTTCTGTTTTTGATGATTTTTCAAATTAGTTTTTTTTAAATATCTCACAATCCACGCATTTTCGCGCGAAGTACGCAGGAGATAAAGTTCGTCCTCTCGACGAGGCGAACGTTATGCGATGTTTCTTGCTGAAATCTAACGATCAGATTTTGAGATAACGAATTTTCTTCAATTTCCTATTTATTAATTCGGAATTTTCGTTTTCCTTTTTTTTTTTTTTTGCGGGAAATTGGTGCATTAATTTGAAACAGCCCTTTGGACAAAATTTGTTTAGTCTATTTTTCCCGTAGTTTTGATACCTTGGACGGGGCAAACGGAGGTAGTTAGAGGCAAGAACGGTGAGTAACAACAAAGAAAAAAAAAATAAAACAAGAATTAAATATTTTTTTTTTTTTTAAATTTCGTGTAAAAACCATAAAAGGGATTAAGAAAAAGTGTTCCGTCAAAGTTTTTGCAAATTTCGAGTGAAGTTGACGGGAGAATTTTGGGACTGAACGAGTTTTGGAAGAGAGCGTGCGGTTGCGCGCGAAGCCCCAAAAACCCTAGTAGATAAACCCTAATTAGGGGAAACCCTAGTTAGGGGGAGTCTTATTCGGGGTTTTGGGGCGGATAACAACCTCGAAGAGGAAGGATAATATACATAGAATATTTTGCCTTTTTAATCCTTCGGCTTTTTCCCTTTTGAAAAATTAAATTAAAAAAAATATTAAAAATAACGAAAAGGGATTAATTAAATTTTGTTTTATTGTATTTTTAAATTCTGGCGTCTTTCCTTTCGGGTTGTTGAGCTAGGGGTGGAAGCCCCGAACCCCATCCCCACGGGGGGAGGGGAAATACTGCTCAATTTTCTAAAAAATTTGTAAAATATTTCAAATTAATTAAGAAATAATTAGAGAAAATACACAAAAATTGGTTAAAAATTAATATTTTCTTTTGATATTTCTTTCCTTTTGCTATACTCCTTCGGCGGCTATTTTGAGTCCGTCGGCCACACGCCATCCTCACGGGGGGAAGGCGAAGTGCTGCTGAATTTTTCGGGGGCCCTTGTGGTCAAGCAGTTTTGCCTAAAGATATATACAAGGGATATGAGTGTATGTAAAATAAGAAAGAGGGTGTATCTTAAGTAAGCGTAGTTTTTGTAAATTAAATACAATTAAATACAGAAAATTCCCTAGGAAGGAAAAGGAGGAGCGAATTGGAGTAGAAAAAGTATAGGGCTGATCCCTTACCCCTCTCAAGGGTTGGGACCAGGGAAGGAAAATATCCCTAATTAAAACTTATTTATTCGGAATTTATACAATAAAAATTCAAAATAAATAATTAGCATTCAGCGGAAGGGGAGACGCACTTGCCACGCTACTCTCTAGGGGAAGCCTTGAATGCCCCTAGGCAGAGGTTGAGGGCCAGTGGGTTTCTGAAGGTTAAAAGTAATTTTTATTAATTTAAATATGTTAAAATTCCTTAAAAATACTAAAATGGCTTAGAAAGATGGCGAAAGAAGGTGAAGGCCTTCTGATTTTGTTTCTTAGGTAGGAGGGGACATTTGTACTCCTGAGGGGTGACCGGAGCAGTCAGAGGCAGCGTTCCCTCGAACAGAGCACACGCCTTCTATTCGAGGGAACTCGACTATAGGGCCTGTTGCTTTTTCTAGAGTCGGGACTCCGCCCTGTAGCACCATAGGGGACCTTGGATAGTTAGGAGATAGATCGACGATGTGATATCGGGGCTCCCAACGAAGGGAGGCGAAGCGCTACCGAAATTTCCTTGAAATCAACAAGCCTCCTTCTACTATCTTTCACTTTCTCTATGAGGCCACCATCGACTGGGACTTGGAGCCCCCTGAACTCATAGAAGGGGATCTGGTGGAGTTCACGATTCCCGGGCGCAGCGTTCGATATATTGATGGCCAGTTCGCGTGGAGGCCCATAGTCTTGTCTGCGGACGTGTGGCTTTGGACGCACAGAGAGCATCGGCAAGGACAAGGAGTGGCCGTGGTGAGAGCCTACTTGTACTTAGGACCGGACGCGGTTACGGAGGCCGTGCTGAGCCTCGCGACGACCGGGACTAGTGGCGCGATTAGCAGGGCGTTACGCTACCTGAGGGAGGAGGTAGCCGCCTTCCGAGCGGAGGACTTGAGCGATCCATTGACCCTTTTTCACGGACGCCCTCCACTTGATATAACGGGCGAGCTGGTGGTAGCGCGGGACGGGTTTTTCCCGTATAGCGTACGGAGTCTGCGGGCGATAGTTCCGGCATTCGTAGTAGAGAGCGTCTTTGGAGGAATTGGTAGAGTGGTCGAGACGTACCTAGCCTATCAGGATCTCAAGATCCTGGCGAGGAGGCCTGACGACCTCAACTACATCTATTATTCACTCGCGACCAGCGGACCTTGTTGGGGTGACGAGAGGGTTCAACTTATAGAGCTGATCCGTTCGATAGACGACGAGTGGCCCTAGTCTCCGTGCGTTTGCGATTGGGTGGACCGTGAGCTCCGTGCAAGCCCTGAGTAGTTGACCTGCATCGGGCGGCTCTTCTCAGACGACTGGGTAGCTGGTGGAGTGAGTACGCCGGGCGACCTCTGATATACGGCCATCAGTTGGTTGAGTACTACCCGGCTATAGGGAAGGCGCCATACCGCGTCGAGGACGAGTTTGACGACGAGGGTTGGGGGCGAGACAACGACGAGGACGCCCGGGAGCCAGATTGGGTCGATCCAAAGGGTGGGGTTGACGAGGAGGAGATCGACGTTACGGACGCCCAATTCCCCAGGATAGGAGTAGCAGTTCGGGCATAGGAGCGGGCTTAGCGTCAGATATCGACGAATAGCGGAGAGCGGATAAATGGTAGAGAAGGCCAGCGGGGTGGAGCTTGAGATCGACGACGCCAGATGGCCTAGACCCCCAGAGACAGTAGCGCCAGGCAGGGTGGTGCTAGATCTACCGGCCAGAGGGGTTTCTGCGGATGCGATAGAGAGTCGATGGTCATCGACGGTGCTGGCCTCAGACGTACACTTCTGGTCGTATGTCATCGAGACATTCGAGCCGGACAGTCAGGGGTGGCGACGACCTGGCACGACTAGTATAGAGGTAGTGGGGCACATTTACTACTCGTCGGAGGTGCTAGCTACGATCTATTATCACGGCCTCATACACGATCATTGGCGAGAGGAGCAGACTGCGAGGGCGATCTTACTGGCTAGAGAGGACTCCGCACGCGGCGAGGTAGAGCGACTGCACGGGGGTGTTCGGAGAGTGACGACGACCTTCAGGATTGGAGGACACTTCCCATATCCTAGCAGTCAACTGCGTGTGACACTTCCGTGCTTCGTGGCAGAGTGGCTTTGGGGACTTAGGCGTCTGGGTGAGATCTACTTTGTGGCTCTTGACTTGGACGGCCTCTGCCGAGGGTACACTGACAGAGATTGGGTGTTGTATGCGCAGTTTGTAGCAGGGCCGCTTGTAGGCGAGCGAGGACTCTAGCTGATTGAGTTCCTGCGGGCCATTGTACCTACCGGGATCCCTGACCTATACTCTCTGTACCAGCCCCTAGCCTTTTGGACGACGCTAGAGAGAGAGGCTCGGAGGCCTACAGATCATTTAGCTGGAGTAGGATAGCTGTTAGCCGAGACTCGTGAGGAGAGGCCGGGCCATCTCATCTTGACCGGGGAGGTTGAGGAGTATTACCGGCAGGTATATCCAGAGGCAGACGATCTTGCGTGGTACGCTGAGGATCGGAATTGGGAGGAGTTCGATGACATAGACCCTTGGGGTGACCAGGGCGAGGACTGGGGAGATCTGGCGCGGGCCGAGGGACAAGAGCAGGTAGGTGGGGAGGCGCCGCAGGAGGACGGCTGGGGGCATCTCCTTCAGGCCGAGGGACAGGAGGATATCCCATGGGGTCAGAGGGTAGATGAGGACACAGATGAGGATATGCCAGATGCATGAGACGACTAGAGGCAGGGCATATCCGAGTGAGGTTTAGATAAGAGAGTATTGGAGAGACGGTGAGCAGATATCTTTAGGTGAGGTGAGACTGGCAGCAAGAGCAGGAAAGGATGGCAGACAGGGATGTACTTAGAGTGACGCTCTCCCTATGACGAGATAGGACAGGAGGCTGGGAAAATGACGTGTTGGGCAATGTTGAGCGACAAATCAGACTCATGACGGAGCATGCCCGCGAGATACGGAGAGGCCAGAGGTACATCGAGTTCACTATCTACTTTCATGGAGTAGACGGGATAGTGCACAGCACCTACTCGGCCATAATGGACCTGAGTGGGAGAGTTGTCTGAGGGGTTAGCGACATCATGAGATAGGGAACGACGAAGGGAGTAGAGTAATGCAGATCGAGAACCGAAGGGGAGATGAGGAGTGACTCAGTAGCCTGGTTAGCTTATGTTCTCTCACGAGAGTCCGAATCCTATAGCGTGAGGAAGCTTGTGAGACCCAGAGAGACGGCGGTTGGATACGACGTTCCTCTTCCTGTGGCGTTAGAAGGGACAGGGCGTGTTCCGTTACGATACCTGGGAACGTGGCTCGCAGAGGGACTCTTCCTTTGGACAGTGATACTGAGAGATGGTCGACCCGAGAGGACTCATGACCTAGAAGGGGTCGGACATCTGATAGCGGATAGAGCACACGATTTAGAAGTAGGATTGACGCTCGCAGGGGCAAGCAGGGCTTGGTGGAGAAGTGAGCTGTTGGCCAGAGTGATCGTTAATCAGCAGCTGGCGAGACTCTCTGGAGGGAGGACGTATTGGAGCCGCTTGGTATAAGGTCCTCCGCACCCGACCCTCTACCCGAGAGAGGATTGGCGATTCAGACTTCCTGCCTTCGTGATAGGGCAGACCTATGGGAGCGTAGATTGTTTGAGTAGAGTAGTGGACCACACACTTTACGCGTTGTGGGAGGGCTTAGCGCCCCGTTTCAGGAAAGTATACTATGCCATTTGTGTGAGGTGGGGACTGCCCAGTAGAGAGACGCTTGACGACATCATAGACGTTACTTGCTGGGTGGACTGTCTGAGGCTAGTCGATCTGATTAGGTATTGCAGGAGACGGGCGGAGATCGATTACGTGGGGGTGGAGGATGTGAGATTTCTATTCGATGTCGTAGCGTAGGGAATGCCGGGGAGGACGACCACAGAGATGCGCGTAGAAGAGCAACTGGTAAGCACAGGGTACACTGTGACAGTACTCCTCCGAGCGTACATAGATGAGGACTTGACAGCGAGGGAGTGCAGGCAACGAGCCAGGGATTTGATCCACGAGCATAGAGCTGATGTACTGGCGCAGGTAACCTTCCAGACCTCGATTTCCTATGATGTGATGATATGGTCTCATGGTTATATGCGCGCGGAGCACTTCCACGACGAGACGGTAGCGGAGGCTAGAGCGAGGGTGAGAGGATGAGCTGGAAAGAGATGAGGACTGAGTATGGAAGAGGAGAGTGAGGCAGACGAAAGAGTGAGAGAGCGCATTAAAGAACCACTTTTGAACCAGGTAAAGGAGTTGGGGAACAAGTTGAGGGAGATCTGGTTGTGCCAGGATGAGGGCAAGTTGCACAGGGCTGAGCTCGTGACGAGAGATTTGGAGAGTTTGTTTAGGGAGGAAAGAGAGATTATCCAAGCGTGGAAATCAGACTTTCTGGAGAGGGTAAAAGCTAGGAGCGTATCACACGAAGGAACTAGGGAGAGGTCTGCAGAGGGTGAGACAACGGAGGAAAAGGTAACACAGGGAGGTAGCGACAGGACATGAGCGGGACTGCACTACGCACGACGGATCGGTACTCATTGCATGTGGTGGGGAGACTGGACGAACCGTTGGTGTTAGTGATCGTAGAGCTCCAACTCCATACTAGACTGTGCATAGTTGAGGAGGCAGAGTGTGTCCGCCGTGCGCTGCATGAGGCTAGGGGGACAGGACTTTGGATTGGATTCGAAGGAGGACGAAGGATTAAATACGTACTTCGAGTAACACCATTCGAAGGGCGGTCTCGGATAAGGGCATGGTACGAGACGACCAGAGAGGCTGAGAGGTTGAAGATAAGCGAAGCCAGGAAGGCTGGAGAGCTAGGGAGAGTTGTAGCCGACGGTGCAATACTCAGGGTGTTAGCCGCTCACGATCGGTACTGGAGGGAATCGATAAAGACTTTAGAGGTCATAGAGGATAGTGGAGATGAAGAGGATTTTGAGACGTTCTATGATATATTGGAGTTGTCGGCAGTGAAACTACGAGCGGCTATAGCACTGGCTACCCTCAGACGCTAAACAGGTGACCTCATAGCAGTCTGGGGATAAAGAAGGAGAAATAGAGATTGGAAGCTCTAGGAAAGAAAGTGGAGGACAGAAAGGTCGCCGAGCGACGTTGGATGGCAATAGGAGGAGAGCTTCACCCGATTCAGGACGGGCTGGGAGACCTAGCAAGGAGGACGGAGATAGACGCTCGGAGGCTCTTGAGGGGTGCTGATCAGGAGACATTGGTTAGACTTGGGACCGCGATCTGCCGCAGGAGTAGAGATCCTGTCACGGGTGTACTGTAGATCCGGAGAGGCGCGACCTTGTTGACCGATCCCGAAGGAGAGGTTTACCTAGACACAGGGATTCTTGGGGTAGGAGGAGAGCACGAGATCCGCGACCAGAACGAAGTACTGGTGGTGGTAATCGGGGCAGTCGAGAGCTAGGATTGGAGGCGGACGCGAACCGTGACAAGGAAACATGTCCGGGCTGCAGCAACTGTAATAGGTCCGGGCTGTAACACCCGGCGAGGGTACCTAACTGCGTCTTTTGGTGGCCTATGGAACCAGACATGATGGGGCCACAACCGACCACGGGCGAAGCGGGGGAGGAGTACAGGACATTGCCCGACCGAGCTCTGAGGGATCTGAAAGAACGAATTAGGCGGGAAGCACCGCTGAGATGGGCTGACCAGACCAATGACGGAGAACCCGACGTAATGGGCGAGCCGGTCGTGACAGAACCGCAGGAGGCTCTGAAGACAGGAACCTCGAGCGGCCGACGAGAAGCGACGAGATGACGCTCCCCCGAGTATGAGCGGAGGGAAACCATGGCGGATAGGCACAGGGACGACTGACGAGAGAGTTCGAGGGATTCCAGGGACAAAGATAGAGATAGAGCACCGCCGCGGAGTGTCTTCGACCCCCAAACGGGGGAATCACATCCGCTCCCTTACGAGAGCAAGGATCGCTATATTATTACGCACAAGGCCTCAGAGCCTCCTACTTTCAGGGGCTATGGCATTACAGAATATCTGGAGAAGTGGGAGCTTCACGCCAGCCGGAGTCAGTGGTCGGAGGATGAGATTATAGAGAACTTCCTATTTAATGTGGACCCAAGTCTCGATAAGGAAGTTAAGGAAGCTCGACCGAAGGATGG